AAGACATTTATTTAAAAAATAATGAGACTTGCCTTATTCTCTAATAATTAAAATAGTGCTTTATGGGTGAGTATGGAGTTTGCATTTAAATGTAGGAATTTTGCTTATGACATTGTAGCATTTCAAAACAGGGAAATTTTATCTATTCAATAGATAAAGTAGGGACAATAGGATAGCCATTTGGAAACAAAGAGTTATTTATTCCACACCTTATACAAAAATGGATTCCAAAGAGATAAAGGAGTAAAACTTTTTTTTAATCCTTTAAAAATATTAAAGAAAAATACAGAAAATACTTTTATAAGCTTGGGTGGGAAATACCTTCCTAGATAATATATGAAACCAAGGTACCATGTGCAATTTATTGAATAAATTACATCTCAATTTAAAAAAAATATGACTGAAAAAAGGAATATCACGAAGGGAAAAAAACAGCAAATTTGACAACATAAATATCCTGAAAATGTAAAATATCTATGTGGTAAATAAATAAATAAATAAACAAAGTGTAAAGATAAGTAACAAATAGGAAGAAAATTTTGTACCATATATAACAGCTAAAAAATTAATGATCAGATAAATATATATATATGTATGTATATAGCAACCAACTGAAAAATAGGCAAAGGTTAGGGACAGGCGATTGACAGAAGAAATTTTTTTTTTAAAGATTTATTTATTTATTTTTAAAGATTTATTTTTATTTATTTTGAGAGAATGAGAATGAGAGAGAGAGAGAGAGAGAGCACATGAGAGGAGGGAGGGCCAGAGGGAGAAGCAGACTCCCCGCTGAGCAGGGAGCCCGATGTGGGACTCGATCCCGGGACTCTGGGATCATGACCTGAGCCGAAGGCAGTCGCGCAACCAGCTGAGCCACCCAGGCGCCCTTATTTATTTTTAGAGAGAGAAACAGAGAGACAGCGAGCACGAACAGGAGGGGCACACGGAGAGGGAGAGACAGAGTGCCTCGCAGACTCCACGCTGGGCGTGGAGCCCAACACGGGGCTCGATCCCACAACCCTGAGACCACTACCTGAGCCAAAACCAAGAGTCAGACACTCAACTGAGTGTGCTACCCAAGCGCCCTGACAGAAGAAATTTTTTTAAACAGTCAATAAACATACGACGAGATGTTCAACCTCACTAATAATTGAATACAATAATTGAAATTAAATTGTATTGAACATAATAATCAAAATTAAAACAACAATGAAATATTCTTTTTCCCATCATTGGGGTAAATAATGAAAAAGATTAATAATATTCATTGGTAACGAAGCTTCAGGGAAATAGACCCCATCATGCAATGATGGTCAGAGTATAAATTTGTAAAATCTTTTTGGAGAGCATACGGGCATTGTCTATTAAAAATTTAAATATGCATAGCCTTAGGCCCAGCAATTCTCTTTCCAGGAATCCAACAGATGCACTTGAAAATGTGTAGAATGATGTTCACTGAAGCACTTGTTGTGTTAATGAAAAATTGGAAGTTTCACGAGACTTCATCACTAGGGGAATGATGGCATGCAGTTTGGTGTTGTCTGGCTATGTAATATCAATTACGAAAAAGTGTAAATAACATCATCAGCAATACTTGTAAAGCATGAAGTGTAGTGTTGTTGGAATATATGTGTGTGGGTGTGCATTAAATGCCCACACAAGAGGGACTTGATGGATGCAGACCACACCATTGATGATGATGACCTCTGGGGACGGCAGTACACCTGAGGATGTTAGGATGTAAGATAGATCTCTGTGGGCTAGCATACACAAATAAGTCCTGAGGAAGGAGGAAGGATGGACAAGAGCCTTGCATGAGATGTACAACTGGAATAAGCCAAGGGAAAGAGAGGTGACTTCTCCCAGAGAAGGTGACATTATCCACCAAGTCTTGCCCACCTCAAAGTATCGGTAGCAAGAAGTGCTGCTATCAAAGAGCATTTCATTCATTCATCAAGTACTTATTGAGGGTCAACTATATACCAGGCATTCCTAGTCCTCCTTTTCCTCCTCCTCATCATTATCTCTAAAAAGTCTATATTACATAGAACCAATCCATAGGAAAAAGGCCTTTCAATGCTGGTGGGAATATAAATTCATTAACTATTCTAGAGGTCAATTCACCTCCTCAAATTGTATCAGTCTAAATTATATCAATCATTAAACTGAATATACCTTTGGACCCAGCAATCTTATTTCCAGGATTTTATTCTAAAGGCAGGAACATTTATGGAGATTTATTGACAAGAATTTCAAACGACTTAACTGTCCAACAACAGTAACGGGAAAGATAAATTGTGATACGTCCCCATCATGGAATACTATCCTGCCATTAAAATTATGCGATGGAAGCATATTTAACAACATGGGAAATGTGCACACTCTAGTAACATGAGAAAAGCCAGTCAGAAAATAGTACTTAGAGTATGAGAGGAATTAGGTTTTTAATTTTTATTTGCATACAAGCGATTGGAAGGATCTACATTGAAATGTTAAGTTATGCCTTGGTGGAGATATTGCAAGCCATTTTTATTTTCTTCTTTAAGCCCTTTCAATATTTCTTCACATATTCTCTACTTGAACTATATTATTTTTGCAGTAGAAAACAGCCAACATGTGGAGACCAGGCTACACGGCTGTGACACCTGCCAGGAACCACCCCCTCAAGACACAGCAAGAGTCAACCTCCTTTTGCAACAGTGTGATGAGAAGACACCACGTGTCAACCATTCTTCCTGGGAGCTTACAGCAATTTTATCTCACATTAAGAACAATGCAAGGAGAGTGTGACAGTCCGTGGTCAAGGGCAGGGGAGAGGGGTAGTGTTAAAAACATTCCCGTGAAAATTTCCCCCGTCCTGTGAATGGCTTGAGAAGCCTGCAGGAAGGAGAGCAAAGTTGAGTTCCCTAGAACAGAGGGGCTCTGGAGCCCAGAGGAGGAAAGGCACTCACTGCAAAAAACACTTCTGAGAATTGCTATTCGGTGTCATCACCCAAAAGTATTTGCCCACAGAACTTTTCATTGTGTTTGGTTTTGTTCTGGTTTTCCATAAAACAATTATTAATATGAGATGAAGATTTAGGAAAACATCGCCCCTGGAAATGAGCAAGGAAAAGGGCCTGGGGAAATGTCGTCCCAGGAGGCTAGAGCCATGGGCCTGTTCCGTGCCTTGCCCAGGAAGGACTAGTGAGCCAAGCTTCCGCACGCTCCCCCCAGCCTGGGGCGGACATGTTCCAACCTAAACAAGCCAGTCTGCTTTCAGGTCATTTATGTAGAGTCACCTTTTCTTAACCCTCCTGGTGGAGTCCCCTTGAAGCCTACGTGGAATGTTCTAGAAGGTATGGTCCCGTCGAAAAACCACAGCCCTGCCCAGAGGCTGAGATGGTGTGAGGAGCGGGAGGCACTGAGGTTGAGCAGATGCAGCCAGGGAGGCCCAGCTCTGCCGTGAGATTAGAACAACTTCCAGGGCCTGAGGGGGATGAGCATGAGGCAGATACGCTGAGAGACAAGGGGAAGCGGGGCGGGGGAGAAAAGAGTAAGTGAAGGGAAGGGAAGGGGAGGGAGGGGGGAGGGGGAGAAGGGGGACAAGGGTCTGTATCTCCAGTGAAATCTTATGAACCGCCTCAGATTCGGGGAGAAAGCACCTAAATAAACATTCTAGAAGGAACCCACCTTCACTCAATGAAAGTAGATTCACATTAAATAATGAACTAGATGACTGCACTAGAATGCAGGGAACCTTTTCATCTATTTTGATTGGCAGAGTCCTCACTACCAAGAGGTGTAGCGCACAGTTCCAGAATACACGGTGACAGAAACATAAAAAGGACATGTATAAGATCTTATGTTTCAGAGCCAAGTGATATTCAGAGTGGATTCCCTCCTCAGCCCATGGTCATCTGATGCATTTTTCTGTTTTCTGTGCCAAAAGATATATTTATACTAATAGTCATTTGTTTTCTTGAATGAATTTGCTTAGGGAGATAAAGTGCACATTTCAGATAATACATCATTCCGTGCTTAAGAACATTATAATGAGCAAACTCCAAAGGCAAATAAAGTTGTACTAACCACTATCTACATAAATTATCTACTTTAACATGTCCCTTACTCATGCAGGATATTAAAAATACCCTTTCTCCTTCTATCAAAAAAAAAAAACAACCTCTTCACAACTCAGTTTTATCCCTTCAAAAAAAGCTTATCAAAACAACATCACTAATGCCTTTAATATTATATTACATGTATATAATAAAATTAGATTCTCACACTTGGGACCATCAGCTTTGTGATTCTCTTTATCTTGTACCAGACCAAATTCAAGTTCAAAACAATCAAAAATGTAATATTTAGCACACAATAGCAAGTCTTATTAAAACTGTAGAATATTTGTGATAAAAAAATGATAACCTTCGAATATGGTGCTTGGTAGCTAAGATGTTCCAGAACACGGCCCATGCCTCCTGTCCTTCTCCAGGAAGGGAGGGCCACCTCTGGTCCTTTGCCCACTTTCAGATGAATTTCTCAGGGAGATGTTGCCTGGGGCTTGGATTAGTTCCTCTGGGCAAAAGATCAGAGCCACCAGCCTGCCCTGCTCGGAGGCTTGGAAACTGACATCAGGACCTCCCAATGCATGCCTCCTCCCGGGGATGCCCAGCACCCTCTAGCCAAAGCAACCAAGGCTGCACAGACCTGAGCTGGGGAAAAAGTACACACACAGCCAGTCCAGTCTTTTAGACATGAAGGTTTTTCCCAGGGCTATGTTGGGCAGCACGGGGCCAGGCACTTGCTCCTTCCTCTCCTTACTTCCATGTTAATTAGCCCCAGTGTCCAAGGAAAGATCTAGCCTCATCCCCACAGCCTGGTTCACATGGCCCACAGAGGCCATGAAAATGCATATGAGCCCAGAAGAGCCATCTGGGGGCCCCTATCTCGCCGATTAGAGGAAGGACCACTGATCTGTCCCCCCATTTCTCCCCAAAGAGCAGATACGCCCTTACCTCTCATTTCCGTCGCTGAGGAGCCGTTGGACCAGGCGGTCCACTTATTCCTGTGCTTGCTGATTTCCTGGACTTTGCAGACGTAATGCCCTTGATCTGCTGGCCGGAGGGTCAAAACCGAGAGTGTGTAGAGTGCCCCGCGCCTCTCCTCAAGGAGGCACAGCCTCTGCCGGAAGGCGCTGCGGCTGTAATTCCCATAGTACTGCACCACACGGAGCTTGGTCATCTTAACCATCAAGGCTTCCGGGGAGTTGGGGCGTGCGAAGAACCAGCGCACGGCCAGCAAGCTGTCCTTCCGTCTCTTCTGGGAGACATGGCAGAGAAGAGTGGCATTTTCCCCCTCCAGGTAGTCAACCACAGGCCCCGGGGACACAGTGACATTGAGGGCCCCACACACCTCTGCAGAGAAAAAAGGAAGAAAATGAGCATGGCCATTGCCTTTCCCCAGAAGGACACACAGTGCATCTTTTCTCCGGGAGCCATCTGCATGGCCAGAGGGGCAGGCCACCCTGATCCCCTCCACGCTCACTCTGTGTCTTTGTGGTGGACAGGAGGACTCCTTCTGGAGCATCGTGGAGACAGGGGGTTTCTGTGGGCTCCCATGTCCTCATCCATGGGACAATCCCATCCACATGAGATGCCACTGACCACCTGGCCCAGACATAGTTGAAAATTTTCTTTAATTAGTTGCTGACATTTAACACTCAGGACATTTCACATAAAGACTTGGGTTTTTGCAATCCCTTAAAAATTTCCAGCCCATATCCCATCCACCTGCCTCCCAGAGGCCACTTTAGATCAGTTTCATCACCTGCCTGAAGTGGCAGTGCTGTGGGTCCAGGAGCCGCCCTTCCAAGCCCCCTGCCCTGTCTCAGTGATTTCTACTGTAACCAAGGCAGAGTATCAGTGCTAGTCAGGCAGGCATTGAACTAGTACTGAGGAGCTGGGGCAGCAGAGGTTTCTCAGTGTCTTGCTCTAGGTCTTTTGTGGACTTAGGTCCCCAGTCTCAGAGCCGCAGTGCAGGAATAAAGAATGAACAAACCCAGGAACAGGGAGGAGTGGGAGAACCCCCCCCAACAACTCAAAAGATGCTCCAAAATTCCAGACCTGGTCTACTACATCCTGTCCTTTGTTTTCTTCATTAGATCCACCCCCAAGGGCTGCCCCTCCTGAACTGCCCTTCTGCCCCCCAAGCTGACCTTGGAGGGAGCCACCCACTCAGACCAGCCAGACCAGAGGACCTCATACAGAGACCTCCCCCCGGGAGACTCACTATATGGTGACAACAGGGACCGAGCAGTGTGGTTGTCCTGCCCTGGAGCTCACCGCTGGAGCTGTCAGCTAGCAGGCGGAGCCCAGAAAGGATGTTTCCGCACAGGATGCCCAGAACCTGATGGCAGGGCTGTCTTCACCCCAGGTCCCACATCCTCCCCCTGCACTGCCAACTGCCCGATAGCAGCAAGCACCATCCCCTGCCTGCCCCACCACACAAGCAGGGGTCCCTGGGGTATCTCAAGCCCCAAATGTCACCTCTGGTCACAAGAAGGGGCTGGGGTCCTGATGTGAGGTTCACCAAAAGCTTTGAACTCTGGCCAATGCTGCAGGTAAGCAAGGAGGAAGGATAAAAAGATCAGGAAAGACTTGAACCCTCCACTAGGAAGAGGCCATGAGTCAACAAGGTGAGGCCCTATCTCTGTTGGGGTGGGAAAGACTCCCGTGAAAAATATTCTTCATGGTCTGTCGGAGTGGGAAAGACTCCCGTGAAAAATATTCTTCATGGTAAAAGTCCAGGCAATAAGCTCATTCTCCTATATGGTTTCCACTATTGAGTTCATAAACTGAATACGTTCAGAGATATGACGGAAGGGTCAACTTTCTCTAATTTTCTTTCCCATCTCTCAGACGCCAGGCCCACCAGGATACTCCAGGACACTCCAAGATCCTTAACTTAATCACATCCATAAAGTACCTTTTGCCACATAAGGTAACATTCACAGGTTCCAGGAGTTAGGACACAGACATCGTTGGGGGCCATCGCTCAGTTTTACCACATCATGATAATCTTTTGTTACCTTAAAAAACAGATGGACATAAATTCACAAGAAAAAGGTTGGTGCTGGGCTGGACTCTCCTTGTGGAAAAGAACGAGATCTTCTATGCCTACAGTGACAAAGGACAAAGCCGGTCCAGGGAGATACTAGGGGAATGAAGAGCATCAGCAACCAAGGAAGGTGCACATTCTCCAGTAACAATCTCCCTGTGACAGAAATCGCTCATGTAGGACAAAAGAGGAGGAAATGCTTCCCGCTGTCTCCCCTGCATCTCGCCCATCTGCCCTACACCTTGCCCAGACGCCATATTAAATTAGCCCAAGTCCCTCCTGACTGCCAAGGCCCTGTCTGAAGCCCCCACGGGCCACAGCCGGGACACCAGGCTGACCTGCTCCAACAGCTGCCTGGGGATCAGCAGGACGAGAGCCGCGGAGAGTGGCAGCTGGCTTCCAGAACTGAAGCCCAGGTTTACCCGCCCCCAAGGGCCCCCCACTGGAGTCAAGGGGAGAACTGGGGAAGGCAGGAAATTGAAACAAGATGGGTGGGGATGGGAGAGCCCAGACCCCACGCCCCAGTCTCCTCCTATTAACGCCGAGTGAAGGAGGGATTATTTATAGTGACTGAAACCAGGAGAATGTGCCAAGTGCTCAGTCCCCATGGGAGGCCAGATTCCATCCTGGAGGCAAATGAGTAACCCTTCCACTTCTGCAGCTCAGACCAGAGTCAGCAGCTCCCGGGAAAGCCAATGGGCCAAACCATCTGCCTAAAAGGACCCCTCCTCTTCTCTTTACCAGGGCACCTCTCCGCCTTCAGTTAGCCCCATATTCTCTTACAAATGGTCCACGCATGCTTCTCCCACCAAAGTGCAAACACCCCTGTTGTGGGTTGAATTGTGACCCCAAATTTATATGTTGGAAGCCCAAATCCCCACTCCTCAGATTGTGAGTGTATTTGGAGATAGGACCTTTCTAGAGGTGATTAAGTTAAAATGGAGCTATTAGAGAGGGCCTTAATCCAACACGTGCAGTGTCCTTCTAAGAGGAACTCTGGGCACGATACGTGCACGCACAGAAGGTAGCCCACGTGAGGACACAGGGAGAACACGGCCATCTGCAAGCCAAACAGGGAGCCTTGAGAGAAGCCAAACAGGGAGCCTTGAGAGAAGCCAACCCTCCTGATATCTCGATCTCACATTTCAGGCCTCCAGGACAATGGGAAATAAATGTGTGTGGTTTAAGTCCCCCAGTCCGTGGCACTTTGTTCCGACAACCCCAGTGAGCCATACAACCTTGTTCACAGGAAGGCTCATTTGGCCCTACGTCTGCCACCAACCCAGATATTTACACCCACTTTCAACTCAAAGGCATGGGTGGAGGATGACCGAAATTCAGGGCCAAGGGCCCTTCAGGGGCATAAAGCTTTGCTAGAGGACATGGGCTCTCAGGGGGCTCCAGGCCTGCGATGATCCTTCCTTGAAAGCCAGGTGTTCCCAGTAGTACCCTCTCTTTGGCCCTAGTTAAAACCCAGCGAACACAGCTCCCGCGCCGGCCTGGGGAAGGAGGGGGAAAAGTGCAGGTAGAGGCCCCAGTGCTTAGCAGAGGTCAGCTGAGCTGGATATTTGGTTAAATACTAGAAAACACAGCATCACACAGCATCTGCCCGGCTGCAGCCAGCAGGGCCCCTAAGGCTCAGCAGAGAACACAGCAGGTGGGAGTCAGGACAGTGGGAAGCAAGGGCAACACCAACCAACGTATGGAGTCAGGCTGACCAGAAGGCGGGGCCCGTAGGAGTCCAGGCCTTCCTCTTCTGGCTCTGTCTGAATGACAGAGCATATACCCACCCTACAGGGCAGAGGGGCAAGCCAAGCAAACAAGGGCCAAGCCAGCTATATGACAGGGCAGGATGGGTGTCACCCTCCTGGCAGGGTGGTCTCCCCTCTCCTGGCCTAGGACGGAGAATTGTCAAAAAGTCATTCTTGCCCAGAGAAGAACTGAATTTCTTGCTTTGTGACCCTGCGTTGCAGGGAAGTGAGATGGGAGGTAGACTCCCCTACCCGCCCCCCCAGCCCCCGCCCCAGGCACCTCTGCACCCAGAGTTCCCACTTCCTCCAGCTTCTGTCCCAGCCTATGCTTTGTTAATCACTCAACAAACACTTGCTGAGCAACAGCATTGAGCCAGGCACTGCACAAAGAAGAAAGCATTCCTGGGGCGCCTGGGTGGCTCAGTCGTTAAGTGTCTGCCTTCTGCTCGGATCGTGATCCCAGGGTCCTGGGATCGAGCCCCGCATCGGGCTCCCTGCTCAGCAGGAAGCCTGCTTCTCTCTCTCCCACTCCACCTGTTTGTGTTCCTCTCTCTCTGTCAAATAAATAAATAAAATCTTTAAAAAGAAGAAGAAGAAGAAGAAGACAGCATTCCTAACCTCATGGAGCTGAGAGTCCAGTGGGCAAGGCAGCTGGTCCCAGGGAAAAACGACACAGGAGGAACAGCAAACAGTGTCACATGCTACAGGGAAAAGGTGCAAGGCTTTAAAAAAATCAGGGCAAGATCCTGATCTAGTCTGTGGTGGGTTCAGGGAAGAAGGAGACTCTGGGGAGGTGACCGGGAGCTAAAGGCTGAGTTGGGGTAAATGACATAAAATTCAGGAGAGTAGGTGTGCCTGGGTGGCTCAGTCAGTTAAGCGTCTGGCCCTTGGCTCAGGTCATGATCTCAGGGTCCTGGGATAAAGCCCCTCATCGGGCTCCCTGCTTTTCCCTCTCCCTCTGCCTGCCACTCCCCCCACTGCTTGTGCGTTTGCAGTCTCTCTCTCTCTCTCTCTCTCTGTCAAATAAATAAATAAAAAAAATTTTTTTTTTAAATCAGGAGAGTAGTAAAGAGTGACCTTCCTGGGAGAGAGGGGGCGCCACCGGTGCAAAGACCCTGGGGCACGAGGAACCTAGCGCAGGCTGGAGGGAGAAAGCACAGCGCCCTCTGGTGAAGGGCACCACACAGTGGCCCAGAAAGCCAAGGGGCCTGCCAGTGGATTTCAGACCCAGATCTCCACCCCAGTAAGGATCCCTCCAAGTCCAGTTCTTAAAGAAGGAATATGACAACATTGGGAGGGAAGAGGCCGAATGAAACAGAGCAAACGGGATTCTGGCCACAAGGAACCCTCCCCCATGTGGGCTGGGCACTGGGATTCTCAACAGCCTGGGCCTTCCCAGTGGCTTGGTGGGGCTGGGCAGAGAGCCGGGCGTTGGTATTTAATAGAGCAGGGCTAGAAATTTGGTGCCATTAGGTGTGAGGCTCTCCTCGTCTGAAAAATTGGAAAATGATGCCTGGCAAGGTGAGTGTAGGCTCCAATGAGGAAACAGCCTCAAAATACTGATATCCGTCTGTAAGCTCTGAAAGCTAGGCAGGGGAGGGCAACAGAAAGTTACACACTCCGACCTGTGAGCAGGGTGGGTTTCTTGGGTGTATGATCCACAGTCACCCAGGGCCCTGCACTTGGAAGGGCCCACTGCCTGGCTTCATCTCCGCTGTCACTCTCTTGAAATTCTGAATCAAGGACCCCACATTTTCATGTTGCGTTGGATCCCACAAATTGGGTAGCTGATTCCGCCTATAGGTGAATATAGGCACCTCTATGAATTAAATTCCTGTGGACAGGATTTCTGGGGTCTAACCCTCTTGCTCCCGTTTGGATACTGTCGTGAGAAGGACTAACACAGCTCTGAAAACAGCTCGAAAGAAGCTGTTTGTATACCAAACAGTATACAACCCACTCATCCAGTACAGAGCCTCTGCCTCTCCCTCTAGCACTGGTCACGCAGGGGAGGAGGGCAATTTCCAGCTGCAGGGGAGTGTAGGACTTCTAACAGAAACAAGGTACCCACCCGGCCTGGGACCTAGAGGAGGGCATGGCCGCCAGCAATGGGCTAGTGGCTCTGTGCCCCGCGCTCCGTTCTGTCCTGAAGAAACTGCTCCCTCTCACTCAGATCATTCCTCTGACTGCTGCCCTGAATTTTATGTCATTAACTCCAACTCAACCTTCAGCTCCCCAGGGTCTGTTTCTTCCCTGACCCCACTCAGCCAGAAGTGTCTGCATATATAAAGAATGCAAATCATGCGTACCAATCAGCAGCAAAAATCTCATTCTTAGCAAAAAGATAGTCTGAATTCATGACAAATAAATCTCTGAAAGAAATACAATTGTATTATTTAAAAACCCAAGGCACTGGGAGCCTGTATTTATCAAGCACCAAGGAGAGGTGCTATCAGACCTAGCCTATAGGGTGTTGCATCCACATTAAGCCCATCCCCTGAAAATAGCTCTCATCCTGGACAAACACGGGAACCTGGCCAACGATAAAGGCTACCACTCTATGCCAAGCATTGTTCTAAGCGCTTTAGATTTCCCAATTGATCCTCATACTATGTTTATCCTCATTTTACAGAGAAGAGGGCTGCCACACAGAGAAGCAAAGCCCACTGCTCAAGCTCACACAGAACACAGTGGAGCTGGACTTTGAACACAAGCCATCTGGCTTCAAAGGTGACTCTCAACCACCACTCTGGACCACAGCTTGGCTTTTGGTAAATATTTGGCCCTCGGTTTCCTTTCTTGTAAAATGAGAGGTTGAACCATGTAAGGTCCCACTCTGTCCCCAAATCAAGAAGTAGGAAAGTGCAGCGGTAAAGAGTCCAGATCTAGGTACAAAGCAGCTCTGACAGGCCTGCTGTGGGGGACTGTGGCCAGGGCTGTCATGATAACCCACCCCATGGCCTTGGGCACAGCCAGGGCAGACTCTATAAAGGAACCCAAATTACAGCTCTCAAGCCTCCTGAAGTCTCCTGAAAACACAAAAATGTCCTTGACTCCCCATCCCCCCGCCAAAGTCACTCTCTGGGGGTGCCCTCCTTGATAGCACCTGTGATCAGGAAGGTGGTCAGGGAGCCTGGGGGGCAGAGGGCTGAGGACCCTTGTGCCCCCTTGCATCCTGTTGGCTGCCGGCTACTCCACCAGAGCTGTCCTGGCCCAACCACCCCAGTCAACGTCCCAGTCAAACCTCCAGTCACTGTCAGCCAAGACGATGACAAGGATGACAAAAGCATTTCCCAGAGCACCGATTTCAGATTCACCAGAAACCCCGCTACCCTGGTAGCCAGGGGACAAGGGGTAAAGTTCTCCCCACTGTGATCCAAGTCCCTCCTCCTCACACTCTCATCCATGAGGGCTCATATGCCAGGTCGACCACTTGGGAGCTGGGTCACCCTTGGAAAATCACTTAAGTCTGACCATCAGCGTCCTTATTTACGAAACACAGCTTAGACCTGCTGAGCACAGGGCAGAGCCAGGCTCCCTGGGTTCAAATCCCTGCTCCCCAACTCACAAGCCTCCTGACTTAAGCCAAGTCGATTGCTGGGCCTGAGCCTCAGTTTCCTCATTTATAAAATGGGGATACTAACAGTACCTCCTCCAGAGGTTATTGGCAAATTGAGTTAATCTTTGCAAGGCACCTGGATATATAAATTTTGCTCTTGTCATGATTAAAGCGTTGTTGTGATTAAATGAGATAGTGTGTAGCAGGACACCTGGCCCCCCATGGGCACCCAGGAAATGTAAGAGCCAACGAAATATTCATTATTGATTATTATTCTTGCCAGCGTGGACTTTTCAGCTCCGAGGCAGGCGGGAAGGGCTCGGAGAATCAAGAGAGACGCTTCTTCAGCAACTTGGAAGTGAGAGCAGCAACCCCGAGAGAGAGCCAGCAGTGCAGATAGAGGCTGTCCTAAAGCAGGGTGCTCGGGTAAAGGGTCCCACGTCTTCCAGGCGCGGACACCCGTGTCGCACCCGGCCTGCTCTCGCAAAGCGCCCGCCGCCAAGCCCCGGGTTGCTGGGGCAGATCCAGCCCTCTCGACCGGGTCGGAGAAACTCGCCGCAGAGGTAAAGCTGCTGCCAGCCTAACCCGCCAACAGTTGTTGGTCCTGACTGTCGTGGAGAAAGCAAGCAAGCAAGCCAACAAATAGGGCCGGCGCGTCCCTGCTTCAATCTTGCCCCCTAAGGCCCGGCCCCGGGGGGCGCGGGGGCTGTCGCGAGTGGGCCCGGCGGAGGCAGGAAGGGGGCCCCGCACGGCGGCCGCGGGAAGCCGGGGAGGCGCCGCCGCGTTCCGCCGGGCTGGTGCGGCCACAGGGACCCGCGGAGCCCCGGCCCGCCGGGCGCGGACGGGGAGGGGGCGGCCCGGGAGGCGGTAGGGCCTCCCCGCCAGGCCCCGGCCCCCGCCCCGGCCCCGAGCCCCGGCCTCCCCGGCGCGGGCTGCCCTCGCCCCACCCGCGCGCCCCGGCCCCGCCGCGCTTACCCGGGGCCGGAGCCCGCGCCAGCAGCACGGCCGCCGCCAGCGCCAGGAGCCGCATCTCCCCGCCGCCACCCGGCGCTGTGACGCCCGAGGAGCGCCGCCGCCCGCCCGGCCCCGCCGCCAGCCCGCCCCGTGCCGCGCCCGCCC